ACAACAAAGTCCATGCTCAATAATCCAGGTATACAATCCAACATTTTGGTGGAAATACACAACACAAACACACTGATGAAGCCTTTCGGATGGAAGGTGAAACGTTTCAGCACATTAAAAAAAAAAGAAAGAAACTGTCCAGACGACCTGACTGAAAAATGTTGGATTGTATACCTGGATTCCAAAAAAGTTCAATCTGGTCCTCTGGACATTCAAAAAAAACAAAAACAAAACAAAGCAAAAAAAATCTAGAAACGTTTCGTCTCTCATCCAAGAGACTTCCTCAGTCTGAGGTGCTGTTTTCAGCTCAGTCTCTTAAATAGCACCTTCTCAGGGTGGATCAACCAGTTTTCTGCTGACAACCAAAACCAGCTGATCACATGCTCAAGAAGGACCATCAGCCTAACAATGGGTCATTAGCACACTGATGGCTGTTTACTATTCACAGAGGGCTGAGTGATACTAGCAATCACAGCATTGTAAGAGGGGGACAGTTGAAACCGGAGGCCTCCACCCCTGTTTAATGATGGACGATTTCTTTTCACAAAGATGGCCTCCTTTACTCCTCTCTCAAACCATCGTTCCTCTCTGTCCAGGATGTGAACATCTTCATCCTTGAAAGAGTGACCGCTGGCCTGGAGATGAGTGTAGACCGCAGAATCCTGGCCTGATGATGTTGATCTTCTGTGCTGGGCCATCCTTTTGGCCAGTGGCTGTTTAGTTTCCCCGATGTAAGACTGATCACAGCCCTCCTGACACTGAACAGCATACACAACATTACTCTGTTTGTGCCGGGGGACTGGATCTTTGGGATGAACCAGTCTTTGCCGTAATGTATTTTGGGGTTTAAAAGCCACTGGGACATTATGTTTAGAAAATAAACGTCTCAGTTTCTCTGATACCCCCTCAACATACGGAATGACCACTGGTCTGGGTCTGGGTTCCTCCTTTTCACCTGATGGCTGACTGGAGTCCTGTTTGGGTTTCTTCTCTGCTTTCAGGAAGGCCCAGTTAGGATATCCACATTGCTCTAGAGCCTGTTTTGTGTAGGATTTCTCCTTCTGCCTGGCTCCCGAGCTAGTGGGGATGCTGTCTGCTCTGTGATACAGAGTC